ATAGGGTGGGGTCATTAAAAAATCTTCTACTTAAGAACATCTGGGCCAGAAAAGCTGAATCTTATGTGGAAGCATCCTGGTATAATGTAGATTCTAAATTGTTAAAATAATGACCCCGGGGGTTGGGCGGGGCCAATATGGGGAATCAAAGTTTTACATAGAAATATATAGGAAAAAACTTTAAAAATTTTCTTGTCAAGAACCACTGGGCCAGAAAAGCTGAAACTTATGTTAAACCACCTTGAGATAGAGTAGATTCTAAATTGTTAAAATCATGACCCCCGGGGATAGGGCGGGGCTACAATGGGGAATCAAAGTTTAACATAGAAATATAAAGGAAAAATCTTTGAAAATCTTCTTCTCAAGAACCATTGGGCCAGAAAAGCTGAAATTCATGTGGTACCACCTTGGGATAGAGTAGATTCTAAATTGTTCAAATTATGACCCTTGGGGGTTGAGCGGGGCCACTATTGGGAATCAAATTTTTTCTTAGAAATATATAGGAAAAATCTTTAAAAATCTTCTTGTCAAGAACCACTGGGCCAGAAAAAGATGAAACTAATGTGGGGGCATCCTGGGTTAGTGTAGATTCTAAATTGTTCAAATCATGACCCCCAGGGGGTAGCGGCGGGGTAGCAATAGGGAATCAAAGTTTTACAATGGGGAATCAAAGCATCCTATGGTAGTGTTACTGTGTAGATTTCAAATTGTCTAAATTATGATCAGTTGGGTAGGGTGGGGTTACAATATGTATTACAAGGGGGAAATTTGGTAAAGAACGTAATAGTCAAAGCTTCTCAGGTGAGCGATGTGGCCCCTGGGCCTCTTGTATTTAGTTTGATAGTAAAAAGGCATGAATTGACACATGACAAATTCTAAAAAAGAACGTTTAATCCTATAATGAAATTCATGGCCATTTGGTTACGTGTTCCACTGTTATGATGTATACATGTAGCTCTATTGGTTCCATTGTGAAGACGATGCCATGCTTTGAATTTTTATCTCCTCAAAAAGGAGTTGGGAGTTTCACTGATTTAAGACGTCAAATGTCAACTTACAGCTAAGATGTAAATGATAAACAATCGATATACACTTTTCATAGTTATGCAGTAATAATCCACTTTCAAATGATAAAACAAAATAAAACAGAACAATCGTGGACCACTGTGTTGTGTAAAATATGATTGCCCTATCATATGTCATCATACAGAAATCACCAAAATTAACATGTTTGAAAATAAGGTCAAACATGCAAGTCAAAGTCAAAATATGAAAGTCCTATATATTCTTATTCAAACGTTCTCAAGGAAAATGTAATTTCTAAAAAGTCGGTCAAATGGTCAAACTCTGGTATGTTTAAAAGAATTTGCCACAGATTATATGCATTTTTTATATAAAAGTCCCAGCTTTTCCTTTTCATGCGTAACGATTAATTTAAATCAATGCAATGGTTTACTATAGGTCAAATTTTAAGGTGAAGGTAAGGGTATCGGAATAGAAAGGAAACATTTTAACATGTTAATAACAACGCTAAATCCTATGATATTTCTTTGAAACTAATATCATTTGAAAAGTCTCAAAGAAATGTTATTACTACTTGAAAAAATAATGCGCCAAAACGTATGACGGTCCGACACTATGACATCATTTAAATTGAACCTTTATACTTTGTCTTAAATTACGTAGGCACAGGCAACTTAAAATCTTTTTGACCTATATAAATATTTTTTAAATTCTTAAGAGTTAAAAAGATATATCAAAGTAAAGCAACAAAGGGAATAGGCTAATCTAATTTAATTCACAGCAACAAAGTATAAATTGAAATGTACGATACTGATGATTCAAATATGAAAAAATAAGTTATTGCTACATTCAGGTTTTGTTGTACAAAAAAATTATCTAATGATTCAACCCAGTTTTAGTAAATGATTTCATTCGTGAACTTCAACTTTTTGTCTGACACAAAATACAGTTTGACATATTGATAAATAGAAATAGCTCTACATGGGGTTTATGGTCTCGTTTTGTTTTAAACAGTATTTTCTTCATGTATTTTAAAGTCCCATTCATTTATAAATGATTGTCCAAATAGTTTATTGTTTGATTCTGCAGGAGGCATACTTGAGGTTAGATATGATCATGTTTGTATTGTCTTAAATTTAGAATCTGACTAATAGTACAATTGTGACATGAAATGAATATATGTTTACATCTTGTAAGACATCCAAATATGAAACACTCTAGATCTCTTTTATTTTAAAATCAAGCTCACTGGGATATATCCTGCTGATATATGAATAAATATAAATTTTTAATTGTTTAAAAAATCGTCGAAATATATGAATCGATTATTAAGACGGTTTTGAATATATAGTTTGTTTGAAAGGGGTTTTAAAAAATATATTCTGATCAACAGTAGTCTTCTTTATGAGGGTTGTCCGCGAACATTTTGAATAAGTTTTGTTTCGTGTATATTACAAAAGTTGAACTTGAATTCATGTTCACCATTATCAGTATCTATTAACAAATATACAGAATTTCAATATATAAATATTCAATAGATATTTAAGTTAATTAATTCGAAGCATAAACATGATAAATAAAAACATCATTAAAGTTTCCGTTCTTTGCCCAAATGAGACAATTGACAAAATCTATTAATATTGTTTTGTAGGGACTGCGTCTCCTATACTAAGATCAATCATTCATCCACAAAAGCGATATATCTGGATTTTTTCTTTTTCATAAAAAACAAATGTTAATCAAGACTACTGCTGAAAAGTAGGTTTTGAATGAAATATATGATGGTGTTAAGAATTCAAGCTTAAATTCATACGTGTGGAGGATTATATCCATAAGATAAACCTATGATTAATCCACGGGTTGGTGCTTTGTCAGTAGTATTCCAGGTTCTGAAATGATCCCTTTATATAATATTAGAATGTTTCAAAATATCGCTTTGTATAAACATTTGCCTTATTAAATGAATAATAATGAGCTAAACGAATATACAATGATTCATATTGACTGTTTGTTCCTCTGGCAGTCGTTTGATCATGAGGAAAAGTCTAACCACATTCAACGCTTTCTTACATTATACTATGTCCATATATGTACATATTAGCACATTCATGACTCTACAATGGAACTGCAAGTAACCGTGTACAGTGAAAATTGTCATCGTACAGAAGAATGACTTCAAATTATCATTTTGTACATGATCTTCCCTCTGTTGATATATCAACCTCTGTAGTACGAGGTCAATGAATTGATATGTGATCAGTTTTGAAGTTTTTATAGTTTCACACGATTTGTTTAAAACAGAAAATGTACAAATTTAATTATACAGAGCATATTATTAAATGCAAGATCGGAAATACTGTCTGTATATAATTTCTGAGTTGCTGCGATGTGGTTTGTTTTATCGTTATTTTATCGGTCGTAGACTATACTAACACCTAAGCTGTGATACCAATTACCCTGCCACAGATACCCAACATAAGCATGGGATTAAAGGTGTTAACTAAATGCGAGCGCAGCGAGCTCAATAGACTAATGTGTAAGAGCAGAGGAAATTCGGAATGAAATCTTTACATACGTCAAGGGATTTTTTGTGTGAAACATTCCCAGAATTCCTTTACAACCCAATGTCCTTTGCGCAAATGAATAAATAAATAATAACGTAAAGCATAAAAGACTTTCAGTTTGTAGAAATCTTTCAAAGAAACAAAAATAAAATCTGTAATGTTTTTCGACCAAAATTGCACTAGGTCTTTAGTTTCAACCAGACGCGCGGCTGTCTCCGTAAGCTCCGACGAACTCTGTGTCGTCGTGTGACGTCACAGCTGGTCGAGATGTTTCGTGCGGCTTGATGTTTGAAGTGACTGATCAATTTTTCAAGTGTTTTTATGGTACAACTGCGCTCGCCCCAACGGTCACACAGTAAAACATTTTAGCTACTTGCAAGAATGTGTGAATTCACGACGCCAGGTGTGTTCAGTAGGCCGATAAATTAATTACATTTCGAGATAAACCAGGAATATACTTCGGCATAAGCGGGTTATTCGATATTACCGTGTTCGAGATATGAGGTATTTTTAAATCATATAAACTGTATAAAGAGAATACTGCCGGGATCGGCGATTGACCTGGAGAATTGCGGAATATTCGATATTTATTATAAACCTCACGTAACAGTTAATTTTAGGCAATCATTCGACGTCCTAACCCGACTTTACGGATCACCACACTGTGGTTTTCTGAATCCATTTCATCACTCACTTAGTTAAGTCCCTTGTTATTATGCCTTGTTTTATGAATAAATATTATACAATTGATCTCTTAATTATTTTTTTGTTAATTCTTGCCAGATATAATAAACTTCGCGTCTCGTTAGATCTGATGATCCACGTCTGTCAACTCGACGTGATACGACCTTTCGGACCAAGTTAGTTATAAAAATATATACAAATCCCATGTTCGAAAGACTAATATTTACAAGTATTATCTATTTGTTCAATAGTTCTGAACAAAATGAGATAAATAAAACATCTATAATTGTGTGATGTGATATTAGCCTTATCAAACTTGTCGAGATGATAAATATTCTCTCGGCAAGACTTCCGAATTTTATACTTTGAACTCACTGATAAAGCAAACATTAAATCACCCCAAAATAGATATGTTTTCTATTTTTTTTTTCATTGAATGGTTTCAGGCATAACAAATGATATTCAAAAAAAAATTTTTAGGATAATTATTTTCATATGAGCTGCACAATTAGTGATCCTACAAAAGTACATGTTCACTTCTTGAGGTATCTGAGTGATAAAAAAGATCATTACAATGCTGATTCTGGTATCATTTTGGTTATGTTGGTTGAGTATAAAATATTGTATTTAAATTGCATGTCTTTGGTAAATATTTAATAACATTTATTGCAAAAATATAAATGAAGCATATGAGGGCCCTTTTGGCTTAAAAGAGAGATTGTCTCGAAGCTATGTCTGTTGTCTCGTGGTTCGTAGCTTGTGTCCTTTCCGAATATCCTTCAGTAATCGATCTATAATACAATCTTCTTCAATTGATTCTTTCTTTGCTGAAGTATCTATAAAGAGAAAAAAATATATTAACTTTTATTTTAAATAAATCAAAACTTTTCTGATAAATAATGAAATTCCTTTCTATGAAACATACGCTCAGCATGTTTCTTTGTCATTTCCTGTTCCTGCTTTTTCCTGCGCTCTGCCATTTCTTCTTTGTGTTTTCTCTGTAAATTCTCCTTTTGAAAAAAAAAAATTAAAAAATTGCATTTAGTTAAAACAAGAGGCCCACGGGCCTTATAGGTCACCTGAGTATCATGTAACAACTTTCCAGCGATTGTATTTGGTTCGTGTTTTAAGCCAAAAGCCATGAAATTCACGAATTTTGAAAGAGGCACCATTGCTTATCAAAGGGCAGATTTCAAAGCATTAATTTATTTTTAGTCAAAGTACCCCCTTGGTACCCCTGACCCAGCAGCCCTGAAATTATCTATTTTGAAAGAGGACCCTTTCTTCATTATAAGGCCAGCATTTTTTTTTTATGATTAGGTTTAGTTATGAACATGAGAATAAAAAAGTCCAAAGGAAAAGGAAATAATTCTTTTTTTATAAATCAATTATTAACATTTGTACATTCTTTTTTATGCTATCCTAATAGGCTCCTTACCACTGGACACATAATGCTTACAAATAGGAAAGTAGAACATTTAATTGCTTATTTCATCATCTGCCAGTTTGGGCCAGTTATATAAATTTTGTGATGTTGATCAAAATATATTTTAAAAAATCAATTCTTTAAAAGTCTTTCAATACATCTTCATTTTCTTAATATGTGTTAGGTGAATGTGTAGACATTGTTCTAAAATTTACTTGATGCCTAAAATTATAATTCCTATCATAAAACAGACAGGAAGTATTGGGGAGTAGGGTCAACATTTTTTTCAATTAAGTGTAAAATAATTTTTCTGGCTGATACAAATGATACTACATATATTTGTATATTCTTGCCTTTTAATAGTTGAATTTTTTTTTATTTCTTCACTTCAGGTTATTGTTTATTTCTTCCTCAAATGGACTTCACTTCTCCCATAGTTTTATTCATTGCATCTGATGCATAAGCAACCATTTTCTGAAGAATGATGCTTAGACTGTAAGCTATAACAGAGACCTAAACAATGTCTCTGGCAATATGCAATAGCTACCACGGGCAGTTTAAAACCTGGGGGAGGAAAATAATTTACAGTTACTTTTGAAACGAATACATAATTATCTCACCAGCATGTCATTGTGCAACAAAGTCGTCAGCATTTTATTTGGCCTTTGAACGGGTGAAACGTTTTGAATGGCACTCTTATCGATGAATTTTACACTAAACCATGCTAAATTCTTGGATCTAGCTTTATTTACCAGCCGTTTCATCTAAAAACCGGAAGTGCGAGTTCGTAAATTTGAAATCTCGATCCCGACTCAAATTTGACATCAGAAAGAAAAAAATTGTTTTATTTTTTTTCTAAAAGTTCAAAACCTTGAGCGGAGGGTTTGTAAAACCGAAAATAAAATAAATCCTGGCCTTAGATATGTAATTAGATCATTAGCATATTAACCAAGTGCAAAGGATAAGATGTTCAAAGAATTCATACATTTCACTATATAATCATTAGAGCCCCACCCTAAAACAAAAACCCCTGATCCTGGGGCCATAAAATCCACAATTTTGGTAGAGGCACTCTTGCTTATCATAACTATGTACTTAGTAAGTTTATTTAATACCCAGGAGCAGAGAACAAGATTTTCAAAGAATTAATGTATTTTCACTATAATAATCAATAGAGCCCCGCCCTAACACCAGAACCCCTGACCCTGGGGCCATAAAATTCACAGTTTTGGTAGAGGCACTCTTGCTCATCATAACTATGTACTTAGTTGGTTTATTTGATACCCAGGAGCAGAGAAGAAGATTTTCAAAGAAATAATGCATTTTTACTATATAATTTATTAAGCCCCGCCCTACCACTAGAACCACTGACCCCAGGGCTATGATTCTCACAATTATGGTAGAAAACTCAATGCTGAGTATAATCATGCAAACAGTTTGACTGCTTGATGTCCAGGAGTAAAGAAAAAGATTTTAAAGATTGCACTAATTTTAGTGGTTTTGGCCCCACCCCTCAGGCCCCTGGGGGGGGCAGGGACCATGAAATTCACAATTTTTGTCCCCCTTCACCCATAGATGCTTTGTACCAAATTTGGTTGAAATTGGTTGAGTGGTTGCAGAGAAGAAACTGAAAATGTTCAAATGTTAACGCACGACGAACGACGAACGACGCACGACGAACGACGACGGACGAAAACAGATAGCAATAGGTCACCTGAGTTTACTCAGGTGACCTAAAAAAGAAGAATTTTATAATTAATTTATTTCAGATTGAGGGATAGCTTACCTTTTGACATCGTTTAATATTATCACAGAACGTATTCATGTCGTGAATGCACTCATCTAATTTAAAACTTTTCTCTTTTTCACAGAAGTAACAAACAATTTGCTGTGTCAGTTCTGTTATTTTCTCTAAACTCTCATCTAATGAAGTCATTTCTTTTTCTGCTCCCTGTAATTATCAACATTTTTAATCACTTCGTTTTAAGAATACCAGGCTGTTAGTCAACAGCAAAAGTTTGAATTAAAAACAAAAACCCTTTTTGCTTGCCTGTACAAATGTTTTAAGTTGATTATTGACGTCACTGGGACTCTTTTTCAGGCCTTTTTTCAGACCGTTAACCTTATCTTTTACTTCTTTAACCTCTGCTGCCAAAGAGTCCACAGTCAAACTTAAATTAAAAAATGAAAAATTTGAATGCAAATTATGATTTTAAATTTAAAATAAATGTTTAATAATGTTCACCACAGACAGACATGTTGATATGCTAGCATGATGATAAAATATATGCTTTGGATAAACGAAATTTATTTTCCCCTGTATTTCTTCTTGCAATTTATGCAATACTAAAAATTCTTAACAGCTTTATTATGAATTACATTGAATTGAACATATCTTATTGACAAAGTCAAAAGGATCAGACACAAATTCATAAACTTAGATAGGTTTTAATATGTATTTAGCTTAAAAAAAACTAGATTAAATGAAACCTCTGATGACAGTATGACATACTTTGAGGCAATGGCCAAACTTGGAGTTATCTCCTCAACAAAAGCTAGAGCTTCCTTGTCTTCTTTTTGGCCTCTTCAACGAGATAGTGCAAAAGAGTTACCCTGGGCTTTTTGGATCTTGTATCCATCAATTTATTTAAGGAATTTATCCGGAAACCCATCGCGTTGCCTGCATACCCACCCTTGTGAATTATGAATGAAATAGTATATATACATAAGAAAATAAGTAAAAACTTTTTTTCAAGATGTTACTATTAAGAAGTGTTGGTAATTAATGAATTATATCACTGGATCAACGCAAAAAGCATGAAGTTCATAAGCATTGGAGTCATCATTTTATCCTTTCATGTGTTATCAATAGAAAAATATTTTGAATTGTCTGAAATAAAAATTGTTGTCAAGAAAATACATTACTGCATTCATGAAATTTCCAGTATGTAGAACATAGCGTAGAAACACTTTGAGAGAATCATTTTCCAGAAGACATTTGCATGTTTTAATCACAGCACTGATATTTGGTAAAAGATTATCCATTGTGTCTCCGAAATCGCCCTTTAGAACAAGTCCGTCTATACGAATTCTGTAGGCTTGCAACTTGATGAGTTTTAAATAGAATTTCTCTGCATTCCCAAGTTTCTCTTTATCTCCCTCGAATTCTTCAAGCATACTAACCTTAAAGAAGAAATCGTATTTAAAAGATATATTTAAGAGCTTGACGCTTTGTTGTGTAATGTCAAGGCAAACAACCTCAGTATTTTCTAGGACTGCACTCGAAAACTTTCGCATTTATTACAGTTGCTCTTATACAGACCCAGAACGAAGTTTCAGATTTTGGTCTTGGACTCTCTATATAATGTTAAGAAAGACTGTACAATTTCTAAAAAGAGATATATTATTGTTAAACTAGTTTAAGAAACACAAATATCAGCAATCTTGTTTAAAGTCACTATTTAGTAAGTTTCATGGTCGATACAATGGCCTTGTCAGCAAATACAATTTATAATTGAGTCGAATGCTGACTGACGTTTTTCATACTTATTGTTAGTTCATTATTTACACCCTGAATTGACGACAATTTTTTCGTTTTTTTCCCAATCATGACAAAGGATGCTCACTCCACTATGGCACCTGATCCCACCTCTGATGTTTTGGAAGACCGAGTTTGCTCTGCTCCTATTTTGTATTCTTTTATAGAACGTGAGCTAAAATACTGTTCGTTATCTTCATATATTTCATTTGTTTAAAGGAATACGCACGCTAACTCTCGATTCCCGCCTACATTTTGGAGCCATTTAATTCAAAATGAATAGCAATTTGGTCATAAAATCTTTGTTTAATACAAAGAACAGTTCAATGGTAATTGAAGAATTGTCTCAATCGCTAAACAGTAAATTATCCATAATTCCAGCTCTTGAAAAAAGGGGGGTAGACGATATTTTCCATTGAAATCGGAGTTTCAGGCATCACCATATTTTGAAATATTCTTGGATATGATTAAATGTTCCTTATATCTTTTCTTTTGTCTTAGTGGAAAATAACCATTTTTATCGTTTATTGTCAATAAACTTATGTTCCCCCCCGTGTCACACAAAAAGTTTTGGTAAGAATTTGTGAAATTTTAGAGTTATCTCTCTTTGTTTTCCCAAATAAGTAATGCTTTATGGAAATCCATATAATTATCTATAAAAAATAAGTAAAAATTCATCAAATATGTTAGTTTTGAAAATTGACTTGGAGGTAGGCGGGAGAACAATGCTTCGTTCGCAGTTCTTACGTTACCTCTTCCTCCTTTGGAAGTATTTTCTGTAAACCTAGTAGACGCTCTTTGCCGATGACATCTACATCACCTGTCTTTATCATTGATACAATTTCTGTGTGGCTACACTTAAACTGCTTCAGAAAGATGTTTACATTCATACTTCGTTTTCCATCAAGAAGCAGTATCTGAAAGGGTGATTTTATATAACCATTTGTTCATTAGTTGTCTCTCGTAGAAAGAAAAAAAAGAGTAAATGGAGATACTTGAGAAAGAGAGAACTGGAAAATGTCTTTGAAAAAAGTGACAGAAACAAAGTATTTTGCAACAGGTATTTGATATTCTTTACAGTATTTGAAGACTTCCTTCTTTACCTTCACAGATATTAAATTGAACTTTAAAAATATGTATAACGATTGGTATGTGTTCCCAGCTGTATAAATTTAACATATACCTCTTTTGGAAGTTTTATTTTCGTTTCTTTCATTTTCTGGATCTGTTTCCGGCAGAATTCCTGTTCCAAGGTTTCATGCTTTACAGGGACTTTATCTTCCATTTTCATAACTTGCTTCCAAACATTCCCTTGAGCTGAAAGTTCAAGTAAAAAGTTTTTTAATGGAATTACAAATTCAATACTTTTGAGCATGCATTCTTTCAAATAATGTGAGTCACAATAATTTTCATAAATAACAAAATCTCATTAAAGGTCTCCAAAATTATACAATGTAGTAATTAACCTTGGAATAAAAATATAGTCTAATAATACCATATGCACATTAATACCAATGTATTCCAATTTAAATTCTAGAATAAATAACATAATTATCAGTAAATATTTTTGATATGTACACATACATGAAATACTACGAGCTGGTATCTTTGTCCAGTTGATTGTTTTTAATTTGCGTTTAGGAGTGTGTCTACACACAGTGCAGGATCTCTGAGGGTTTGAAGCTGAAAGTGAAGGGGCCACTACCACACCTAGAGTGGGTGGTGGAGGTGGTGGGGGCGGGCCAAATCCTGGCGGTGGTGGTGGAGGTGGCGGCGATAAACCTAGCGGGGGTGGTGGAGGTGGAGGTGGGGGCGGCCCTAATCCTGGCAGTGGTGGTGGTGGTGGAGGTGGTGGTGGCGGAGGTGGTGCTGGTGGTGAATGAGGAGGAGGTGGTACAGCATTTTCTGTTTGTGAAACGTTTTTTCCACATAAAACACATTTACTGTCAAGCAATGAATCCATTAGGAATGCTTTCTTAACTGACTTTTCAATCAGTGTCCACCTATTATCACTGAAAAACAAGTTTTGATTAATTTTTGAAAAATTGCTATGATGGTAAGTGATGGTAAACTTTTTGTATATTTTTTTTTTGACAAGGAGAGATATATAGGCAAAATTAAGCAATTCACATATTACATGAAAGAAAACCTCCTTCTGAATGTAGCATTAGGAAGTATATGTTGATTTACTTGATTGTAGAAAACATTCTTTTCATTTTAAATATACATGTATACATGTATTAAATGAAATGCCTACAAAGGTTTTCAAAACCTTAAGGTCAGACAACACGTTCCTCAAAAATATATACATTTTCCTAAGAATTTGTCATTGAAGTATGGGCATTTAATCATGTTTCCTCACGAAAAATTAGGGTACCTTACCGGGCATTTGAACGGATACCATAGGGTCATATTTCTGTATAATCCTTATGGGTAATCTTCTGAATGACCTATATTACAATTTTTGGTGTACTTATATTTAAAAACATTTTGAAAACAATGTAGAAATGAAAAGAGAATGACCTCCTTCTGAATGTAGCATTAGGAAGTATATGTTGATTTACTTGATTGTAGAAAACATTCTATTATATATTTTATATATCTATTATATATATTAACATATTAACTTACAAAATGCAATATCACAAATGAAATTTCATTATGAAACACAGAAAATTATCTCTTATAAGAATGGCAAAAAGGAAAAGTTTGATACCCAGTGGAACAGATGGAATCTGCTATTCTCTTAACTTGAATCTTTACACACTCTCTTTCTCTTCTCTCTCTCTCTCTCTCTCTGCTCTCCCTTCTATCTTTCTCTCTATTGTTTCTATCTTTCTTAAAATAAAAAAAACACATCAGTCTGTTTCTTTTGAAATATGTATATAATGCTGTATGTTGTGTGAATAAAAAAAAAAAAAAAAAAAAAAAAAAAAAAGAAAAGAGAATGACAAATATGAATAATTTTTATATAATACCAAGAGATACAAAACATATATTTGAGGAACGTGTCGTCTGACCTTAAGCAAAACAAAGAAAAAATTCTTTACTTACCTAAGTTGATCGTCTGGTTCTGTTTGTAGGAGAGTTTGTAACATACTCAGAAGCATTTCAGCCAGTGGTGTATTGTAAACCTGAATTAGATACCATAATATTTTCAGTTGGTTGAGAAATATTTATATAAACGTATTACCATTTTGATCCCATATTTCCTATGCTCTCAAATTTCAGTGCATTGTTCAAGCTGAAATTCTAAACTTGAGATATTGAACCTTTGAATCCTTTGCCAGCTTATGCCAAAAAGCACAGAGGGTATGCTTACTCCTTTTTGGCACCAGATCCAAACTCTGATATTTTAAGATGCTCAAGTTTGCTTGGCTTTGCTTTCAACATGTATTGTTTCAATAGATCTTTCAACTTTATAACTCTTCGTTATTTTTATAGATCATTGTAATAAGCAATTTGATTGAAAACTTTACTCGCTACAGGTACATGTACCTTACCTGCATTTTCATAATGAAATGTTTCTGAGGAAAAAATATAAATTTTAATTTTTTTTTAAATAAAAAGTTTTTTTTTTTAATAAAATCTGCTAATCTAAGTTGCGTGCTGAGTTCTTCTGCGTGATATACATGTAAATAGTCTTTACATAGAATTTTTATTCCAAGAAAACAATTAGAAGAACCATTTTTAAATGAAGGAATCATACCTTATCATAGAGAGCGCTGAACACCTCTTTCACATTATTTATGTCAATACCAGTTGGCTTCAAGGCCGCCATTGTTTCGTCATCTGATGCCTTCTCGTCGTCAAAAACATCACATTGGATGACTGTTTTCTCGTTGTCTTCGTTTCGCAAATCATTGATCACATCGAGAAGGTTTAAGCCTACGAATTTGAAAAGGCAATTATGAAGTTTATTTTCAATTTATTTTGTCTTTGCCAAAGAAAAATAACCCTATTCGGTAGTTTACGTAATTGATAATTATTTCATTAATTTACAGTAAAATTAATTTCTTGAAGGTATAAAAAAAGCATTTACAGTAAAATTAATTTCTTGAAGGTATAAAAAAGTAAAAGCACTCTAGGACACACGATGCAAAAAATATGAACATTGTGGATAGTTGAGAAATATTTTAAAAGTGAGTAAATGATTACATAAGTTATGTTCTTTAAGTAAAATAAGATAACAGTTAACTGAATGTCATGCTATCGACGCTGTGTTATGTCACAAAAAAAGAAATAATGAGATTATTTTACCAATAAATTCATTGGGTTACCACCACTTATCCTCCAATTTTTTATTAGCCACAATGACACAATTGACAAAAGCCATCAATGTGGTTTTGTAAGGAACAAAGTCTTCCTTTTTCAATTCATTTACGACCACACTAAATCGGTATCTTTGCTTTTTCATTATCTTGAAAATAAATAATGGCTAGTAGCATTCTTTTAACATTCATTTAAAGAAATAAAGTAATTGACAAATCAATCAAATACGAA